TTGAAACTCACCTCGAAATTCTGTCCCTTGGTCGCAAATACATCGTTCAGGCCGAGGGTATCGGTTGAGCCAACATTGATCGACAATTCGTGCTGCTTCTGCACTAGTGCAGTCGGTCATTGGTGCAATTTCTAAAAGTCTGGTGCTGGTATCAATAATAGTCATTGCACGCCAGTGCTGTGGTCCAAACGGTCCAATACTGTCGACTGCTATTTCTGCCCATGGCCGAATTTCGGTCCTTTTTGTCGGTAATTTACCATATTTATTCTTAGTAGCCTTGCTGCGAGCACATTCAACACAGTTTCGAACCCAATTGGCAATATCCACAGTCATTCTAGGCCATGTTAATGCACTTCGAATAGAGTTCAACATAATTTTTTCTCCAGGATGAACAAGCCACTGGTGGTAGGTTTGCAAAACTTTACCCACTAGTGATCCTGGAAGAATGATTGTCCCATTCGCCCTGCTGACTAGCACCTTGGTGCAGCCAATCGCACGCCACTGCGCAGCCGGTCCCTCATTGAGACCTGCTAGCTGCTGTGCTTTCGCGATTTCTACGAGCGAGAGCGAAAACAAATGGGATTTATCAGCTTCTTTGGCTGTTTCGCTGGCAGCACTTGCCGCTGTTCGCATGGGTAGTCTAGATAGCGCATCCGCTACCACATTCTCCTTTCCCTTAACGTAATGCATCGATACTCCAAACTCCTCAATGTCCAATCGCCAACGGAGCATTTGCGCGTTATTGAACGTTGCTTGCAGGGAATTCTTGTGATCCGTATATACTTGTATTTCTCGCCCCCATAATATTGATCTAAACTCCCGCAGCATTTCTAGAATGCTTAGCAACTCTTTTTTATTGGTAGTGTACTTCTGCTGTGCAGGGTTACACTTTTTGGACCAAAACGCTAATGGTTTGCCATCTTGCATTAGTACTCCACCTAGTTGTAATGCCGATGCATCCGTGAAAATTTGAAATGGTCGGTTAAAATCTGGATACGCAAGCATCACTTTTGTAGCTACCATCTCTTTCACTTGATTAAATGCTCGTTGTTCAATTGCTGTCCACTGAAAGGGTCTCTTATTGGACGTGAGCACTGTGAGCGGAGCCAGTATCTCAGATCTTCCTCTCCACATATCTTTATAATAGTTGACCATCCCGATGAATCTACGCAGTTCACGAATGTTACGAGGTGCATCGATACTCACGATTGCATCAATCTTTCTGTGTATGGGCTTCTTCCCACTTGAACTTATTGAGTATCCCAGATACTCCACCTCGGTCATGCAAAACTTACTTTTTTCTGGGTGTACCACAACTCCCGCTTCATGAAGCCTTGTCAATACAATTTTCAAATGTTGTAGATGCTCATCGAAGGAATTTGATAGCACCAAAACGTCATCTAAATAGATTCTCACGAAGGGGAGGTTCTCCAGTAGTTGTTGCATTACGGCATGGAACTCATCTGGGGCGGTACTAATGCCCATTGGCAGGCGGCAATATCTGTACTTCCCCCACGGGAGAACCACCGCCGTAAATGGCCGACTAGTTTTCGCTAATTCCCGACTGTAATATCCCATAACTAAGTCTAGTGCCGTTACGAACGCAGGCTTCGGTAATTCTCGCATCAGATCCTGAATTCGGGGCAGCGGATAATAGTGTCGTTGTAAACACTGATTGAGACCACGAAAATCAGTGAGAAATCTGATCGATCCATCTTTTTTTTGTATCACGAATGCTGGGGCTGCCCAGGGTGAGTCTTTATCAGCTTCTAACACTCCTAGTTTCACCAATCTTTCCACCTCCCTTAGAGTTGCTTCACGATAAATCAGTGGCACGGGATACGGTCGCTGTGCCTTGGGTGTACTTCCGGGTTTTATCGGTAATTCATACGGTTTCAATTTCATTTTTCCTGGACCACCAAGAAATACCACTCTAAAAGTCTGTAATACATCCCATAGGCGAGCTTTCTGATCACTAGTCAAATTTTCCTTTGGTATGAGTTTGCTCAAGTCAATCTCCTTTCCAGTGACGTCCAAAATACGCATAGTTCTATCCTCTGCACCCTGAATCGCAACTACTACACGTCTCTGAGGTTCTGACCGAGTCTCCATTGATAATTCCACTCCATCCCAGCTAATAGTACCATTCTTGTAATCGATCACAATTCCTTGTTCTTGCATGAAATCCGTTCCCAGAATTACAGGATGCAATAATTGATCCACTATTATAAACTGTTGTGAACACTCACGCTTGTCAGAAAATTCAGAAAGGATAAACGGGAGCGTGATGGTTCCTCTCGCTGTTTGCAATTCATTGTTTACGTTGCGGTAAGATGGTGGAGGACCTTGGGGTTTATACCAAGACACCACTTCAGTTGCCACCAGCGATTTAGTCGTTCCAGTATCCAGTATAGCTGTGAAAGTTTGCTGGTTCAAGGGGTGTTTAAGCGTTACCTTCGTTCTCAACACCTTTCCCGTCTCATTATTGCTTACTGCTACCTCCGCCGCGGCCGCATATTCATCGGAGGCACTTGGCACGTGCCACAGCTGCATCGGGTCATGGTCTGTAGAGCCCGAATCCTTTACTTGAGCTGCAGCCGCCGAGGGGTTGTTTTTCATCATCAAGGGCTTCGTTGACTTGAATCTCACTGTGGGTTGTCTGTTTTCTCCTTCTTGCTTCTCCATAGCGCAGAATTGAAATTTCAATTTGCTATGTGTTTATAGTTACTGGCAGGTTCAAGACTGACTGTTTATTCATTGTTGTTTTGG